TATATATTTTTTTTTTTTTATTTATTTATTTTTTTTATTTATATACACACACACACACACACACACACACACACACACACACACTAGATCATAACAGTTCAACACGTATACATTCCAAATGAAAGTGAAAAATATTATAAAATAAGTCATAACAAACATAATACTCGTATTAAGCCATACAACTATATATTCATTTTTACCATAGAGAGTTGTTTTTAATGAACAGTTTTTTTAAATAAATCCCATAAATCCCTATGGTAAAAATGAATGAAACAGAACTAATAGAGCTGAAAAGTTGACCAGGCACTAATGCACTCTATTATTATCATTTTTTTGATCAGTCGGATGCTGGTTGGGAAGAATATTACGACTACATCTTCCCCGAGGACGCTGCCAACCAGCCTAACCTCAAACTGCTGGCCATGGCCAAGATGTGGAAGAAACAGCAGCAGCAGGAGGAGGAGGATGATGACGAGGAGGAAGATGAAAACGATAAGGAAGAACAGCAGGTTCCTGAAGGTAAGGACGCACAGGAGAGTCCAGAAGCAGAGGAGCAGGAGCCTGCCGCTGGTGGAGAACAGGCAGAGAAAGAGTATGATGACCGCGATGATGAAGACGAGAGCAGCAGCAGCAGCAGCTCCGACAGCGAGAGTGATGAAGACCAGAAAGATAAGACTGAACATAACAAGCCGGACACAGAACAACAATGAACCGCTGGAACGTATTTGTCTCTCTAATTTCTTTTGTTACAAAATAAAGGTGCGAACCAAATGTGCTGGCCACTGGTTTTATTTATGATTGACGAAAAAATGCTTGTCATATGCTTAATAATAGTTGTGATATGCTTAATAATAAGTTTTGAAAAGAAAATTGGGTTGATAGATTTTCTAGGTGCATATTCTGGAATTATTGTGAACCATTAATCAGTGCACAACGTAAGAAGTTTCTTTTTTAAATCTTAATTTTGTTGCTTTTAACTCTTTTTCTGCCAGGATTTTTATTTACAGTTTTTCTTTGGTGCATTTCTCACAACACTATTTACATTTGCACAACAGTTAATGCATTTCTTAAAACAATAAGTCATTTGTGCACATCCTAGTAGCAGTTTCTCATTCTTTCCAACAAACTGCAAATGCTTTTGGACATGCATCAAGTGCTTTCATACAACTCCCTGCTGTTTATAACATTATCATTTGCTTATGTCATGTCAGTCAAAATTAACTAAACTTTTAAATGCTGAATAGTCATTCCATATAAAACTAACAGTCCTCATTTCATTACTTGAGTCATTACATACAAAAATGTTAAACTAGTTGTCAAAATTTGTCAAAAAACATTTTATAAAAATAAAAAAATAATTTTATTTTTCTGAAAATGTCTTCTAAATTGAACAGTTTCATGGATGATTTACAGATCTGTGTTGTAGGCTCAGTTCCAATATGTTCTGCAATATTGTTTACAGTTGTGCACAACTCTATCCAAAGGAAGCTTATGCTTGTTGTAAATAAGGGTGTATTAATCTTTTTCACAATGCTGTGAATAAATTAGAATTGCAACGAGCAAATGCAGTAAAAATGTGAAACATACATATTCAGTGTCTTGTACTCAGACATCTCACTAAATGCAGTGATGTCTAACTTTGCTGTAGTTTTCAATTGGCTGCGCAAATAGTATACAGTGCTGTCTTGAGCATTTTCAGGAAGTGTCACCAACATTGAAAAAATGTCCAGAGTAAACTGTCATAATGAAAACATGACAGCCATTTGACTATCTTGTTCATAAACAATGCTGTCAGGACTTTTCATCTTGATGACACTGACACTTTCATTGACATCAATACTTGCTTTTGAGGAATGAACTATCCATTTTGAGCATGTGACACGCTTTTGCAGGTTATCAGCTAGGTTTTGCAGTTTGTACTGTTTTGAGAAATTCATTAACTGTTGTGCAGAAATGCACTGGTGTTGTGAGAAATGCACCAAAGCGACAGAAAAACTGTAATGTTTCCAGCCACAGATAGCACTTTTTTTTGGACGATTTTCGCCTATATTTGACTGCTCAGAAGATTTTCTACTTGGGACATAAGAACGTTTTATATATCAAAACAAAGAACCAAGCCTCTACTTTCTAACATTTGCTTATCGATGGGGGTGGATTATTTCTAAGCGGCAGCCTCCCGCTTTCCCTCGTAAAGCCAATACGAAAGTAACTAAAACTGTAATTCATCGACTGGCCTTTGGGGGCTGGTTTCCGGAACTGCAGTCTGTCTGATGTCTGCAATGCTAAATACTATTTTACAGCTGATAAAAACATTTACAGCCTGGTACAAAACATGGTTTTGGTGCATAATGCTAATATTATCTTTCATGACGACTGTGAACTTTTTTTTATAACTCATCCGTTTCATTTTTATTAAGATATATTAAGTCATAATTAAGGGCCTGGCCAGTTGAGTGACAGCTAGGTCTCGCTGGTCACCTCAGCTGATTCTGGCTGATTAGCAGCTGAACTGTTTTGGTCGCAACTGAAATCTGCAGGAAGGTGGCTCTCCAGGAACAGGGTTGGCCACCCCTGGTATAGATGTTAATTCAGGATCGCATGGTACTTGGCAAAATCTTGACATGCTAACTTGTACAGCCTTTATTCATCATAATTCAACATTTAGTAATGCTTTATTGACACCCAAAGTTTGCTTGTTTACATTAGTTAATGCAAGGTGAGTTATCAAGAACTAACAATGGAAATGTTTTCATTTACTAACATAAAAAATGTTTAATAAATATTATGTATTATTCTTTGTTCATGTTAGTAAACAAACATTACCTAATAGAACCTTATTGTAAAGTGTTACCCTGGTTTAAAAAGACAAACAAACCAAGTGTTTGCTTAATCGTTTTATTTCATGTAACTACAATTCCAATGTCATTTAGCATCAGCTTTATTAACCCGATAATCTGTGGCTCTCTGACATTTCAAAACAATATTTTGTCCCATAAAAGCAAAAAGTCTGTTTTCCCAGCTGAAATTTGATGATTTCAGAGAGCCACATCTTAGTGTTATTCAATATCTTCTGGCCGGACAGGATGTGGAAGCGGGATTATGGATTTCTTCTCTGTGTCCCTGGATAAAGCCTTCCTCATATCTGTCAAATATATAAAAAGAAAATTGTAAATTGTAGTTCACTCATGTGATGCAAAAGCATTTCAGCATCATTATTTCAATCTCGTCACATTATCATTCAGAAATCATTCTAGTATGCTGCTCAAAGAGACTGATTCTATTTTGTTGAGAAAAGTTGCTGCTGCTTTATTTATACTTTTGCCTGGTGCCACATCGCGCACCTCGTGAAACGGACGAGGCTTTTATACTTGTTGCGTTCGCCGTTGTGATATTCTATAAAACGACAGCGAGCGGTCAAAAGAAACTGACCGTAAAGTCAGACTGATAAACAAAGTAGAAAGTTTCCGGAACTACGTCATATCATTAATATCATTAAAGATTTTTTAACGGATTATTTTTATAATTTATATAAATTATTTTAATGAATATTTATAACCATTCAAGATGTATTTAAATCAAACTTTCACTTGCTTTTGTTCTATCTCAGACAATTCTGCCTATTAATGTTTATTAAAATATTAATGAGAAGAGAACATGGGTTGCTCTACAAATATATTTTTTATTATGGCAAGAATAAAACCAAAAAAAAGTACACTTACTAAAAAATACAGATGATTTTTTTTAGATTTAGCCCACTCCACAATTTTCTGTCCTCTTTTTATGCTAAAAAGGCAATAATAGACCAACATTCCTGACCATTATCACCAATAAAGCCCAGAAAAACAGGACATCAGTATATTGTAAACTGATAGGTTCAAATATTCCTTCCCAGCAGTGTTGCCAACTATTTCCAATGAAAAGTAGCTAAATGTTGCCAGACGACGACACACACTAATTTGCATATCAATGACGTCATAATGTACTATCTGACAATAATATATATTATATTAAAACATTACATCCAGATGCAGAATAAATAGGTTCTTATTAACATATTATGTTGCTTGATGACGTCATTGTGTAATCACAACTCAAAACTGCATCTTTGTTGTAAAATAAAATAATTAATTTTCTTAAATAGACTGGCCATCTCAGCAAAAACATTTTTTGAAATCTGTCAATTTCTATTTGTATGAAAAATATAGTTGACTTTTTGAAAATAAAAATAAAAGACTTTTTGATAAGATTTTTTTTCTTTTAAATATAACATAATGAACAGTTAGATTATTTTAAACAAGCTTGTGTACTTACTCTTTTTAACTTGTGAAATTAACACATTTGTGAAAGTGACAACAATTACAGCACTATTGGAATTTATTGCTACCTAAATTACCAAAAATTTACATGTTAACAAATATCAGTTAATTAACAGTTATGAAAAACAATCTGAGCCAGCAATTTACTCTGAGTGAAGCCTGCAAGCTTTTAAGTCACTTGTTAAAAATTGCTAAAAGTAGCCAAATGAATGTTAAAAGTTGCTAAAAGTAGCCAAATAAATGTTAAAGGTTGCTAAAAGTAGCCAAATAAATGTAAAAAAAATTGCTAAAAGTAACCAAACGAATGTTAAAAATTGCTAAAAGTAGCCAAACGAATGTTAAAAATTGCTAAAAGTAGCCAATTGAATGTTAAAAAATTGTTAAAAATAGGCAAATGAATGGTAAAAATTGCTAAAAGTAGCCAAACGAATGATAAAAATTGCTAAAAGTAGCCAAATAAATGTTAAAATTTGCTAAAAGTAGCCAAATGAATGTTAAAAGTTGCTAAAAGTAGCCAAACAAATGTTAAAAATAGCTAAAAGTAGCCAAACGAATGTTAAAAGTTGCTAAAAGTAGCCAAACGAATGTTAAAAATTGCTTAAAGTAGCCAAACGAATGTTAAAAATTGCTAAAAGTAGCCAACTGAATGTTAAAAAATTGTTAAAAATAGCCAAATGAATGGTAAAAATTGCTAAAAGTAGCCAAACGAATGTTGAAAATAGCTAAAAGTAGCCAAACAAATGTAAAAAAAATTGATAAAAGTAGCCAAACGAATGCTTAAAATTGCTAAAAGCAGCTAAACGAATGTTAAAAAATTGCTAAAAGTAGCCAATTGAATGTTAAAAAATTGCTAAAAGTAGCCAATTGAATGTTAAAAAATAGCTAAAAGTAGCCAAACGAATGTTAAAAATAGCTAAAAGTAGCCAAACGAATGTTAAAAATGACTAAAAGCAGCCAAATGAATGTTAAAAATTGCTAAAAGCAGCTAAACGAATGTTAAAAATTGCTAAAAGTAGCCAAATGTATGTTAAAATTTGCTAAAAGTAGCCAAACGAATGTTAAAAAATTGCTAAAAGCAGCCAAACGAATGTTAAAAAATAACCAAACGAATGTTACAAATTGCTAAAAGAATCCAAATGAACGTTAAAAATTGCTAAATTTGTTGTTAGGTGCTTTTTAAAAAAAAAGTTGCTAGTGTACTATGACAAATTGCTAAATCTAGCAACAAAATTGCTAAGTTGGCAACACTGCTTCCCAGTTATCAAAGAAATAATCTGTTCCGTAATTTTAGTTTGTAACTATTAAATTGTTTTCAATTCAAAATTGTAATATTTACATCAGTGTAAAGCCTATGATGGATTCAAAAACAAATTTCTGTAATTGTGTACTGGGGTCTCCACATTTGCCTTGGCCTCTTTTGGCATTAAGAAACTTTTCCCTCAGGTTTTTCTAAACATTTTAACAAAAACTTTCCTACTTTCCCCACAGCTGTTGCAATTTCTAGACAAGAATTGTTGGTCATCTGGTTATTTCTGATCAACGATCATAAAGATGTTTGCACAGTCGTACTGTTTCAGACAAAAAATCTTAAAAGTGTTTTATATTCATCTTAAATCAAACGCAGCGCCGCTGTTCACTCGAGTCTCAAAAAAAATCATGCGCTCCGCCAGCTGAAATCATGTCGCGTGCACCCAAAGCGAACCTCCGCAAACACAGCGATAACAGCACATTCGCCACACGCACTCAAGCGAACTAGCGGACGTGTCAAGTATAAACCAGGCTTTATTGTTGTGTAAAGCAATGAGCTATATGCATTTCAGCCAACGGTAAACGTCCGATGAAAGGTTTATGTGACTTTTCAATTTTATAAGCTTCCTATTACAGAATTGGTGTTGTTATATAATTAAAACACAATCAGTTAAATAGACTTAAGCATTTGCTTAGTTGTTTAAGTGTAAAACAAGATGAAAGACTGTATAAAGGCTAGCACCGTCAGTAGCAGCAGGCTAGAATCGCAAAAACTCTATTGAAAATACTGGAGTAAAAATAAATGTACATATTTTAAAGATATGGCGCGGAAGTAAGTAATTTAATCCAGTGCTTCTTGTCCGGTCTGAGACCCACTTTATATTGTATATCTATCACAGCCACAGCCATATCACCCTGCAGGCCAAGACCGGTTACTCACTGAAGCTAAGCAGGGCTGAGCCTGGTCAGTACCTGGATGGGAGACCACTAGGGAACACTAGGTTGCTGTTGGAAGTGGTGTTAGTGAGGGCAGCAGGGGGCGCTCAACCGGTGGTCTGTGTGAGTCCTAATGCCCCAGTATAGCGAAGGGGACACTACACTGTCAGTGGGCGCCGTCTTTCGGATGAGACGTTAAACCGAGGTCCTGACTCTCTGTGGTCATTAAAAATCCCATGGCACTACTCGTGAAAGAGCAGGGGTGTAACCCCGGTGTCCTGGCCAAAGTCCCTCTATCGGCCCTTACGATCATGGCCTCCCAATCATCCCCTTCCACCGTATTGGCTCTATCACTGTCTCTTCACTCCACCAATAGCTGGTGTGTGGTGAGCGCACTGGCGCCATTGTCCTGTGGCTGCCATCGCATCATTCAAGTGGATGCTCCACGCTGGTGGTGGTGTGGAGAGACCCCCCTCATGATTGTGAAGCGCTTTGGGTGTACGGCCATACACAATAAATGCACATTATAAATACACATTACATTACATATCAGGCAGTGAAGATGCTGATTATTTAAAAAATCTGATCTTAAATGCGGCGATTTTGTAATGGCAAGACAGTTCACCAGAATTGTTGGGGCTGGCTGAGTGACAATTAAAAGTCCATGTGCTTATACCCCATCAAACTTTAAAATACTTTGATGAATAGAAAGTTTATGTTAAACTATAAATGCCACTTTTTGCAACAACTCACCATAAGCATCTTCATCAGGTTCACCGTTACTGGCAGAGTAATACTCTATAACCGTTCTGTACACGCTGTAGCCGAGCTGTTTGTACATGTTCACTGCAACTTGATTGGAAACTCGCACAAAGAGATCCACAAAGAATCCGCCCTTTCTAAAAAGAAAACAAAAGGTTTGCAAACAGGACAGAAAATGATACTATACCAAATATAATATACACTCACCGGCCACTTTATTAGGTACACCTATCCAACTGCTCGTTAGCCCAAATTTTTTAATCAGCCAATCACATGGCAGCAAGTCAATGCATTTAGGCATGTGGACAGAGCATCAGAATGGGGAAGAATGGGGATTTAAGTGACTTTGAACGTGGCATGGTTGTTGGTGCCAGATTGGCTGGTCTGAGTATTTCATAAACTGCTGATCTACTGGGATTTTCACGCACAACCATCTCTAGGGTTTACAGAGAATGGTCCAGAAAAAAGAAAAAATATTCAGTGAGTGGCATTTCTGTGGGTGCAGATGCCTTGTTGATGCCAGAGGAGAATGGCCAGATTGGTTCTAGTTGATAGAAAGACAACAGTAACTCAAATAAGCACTCGTTACACATCCAACCTTGAGGCGGATGGGCTACAGCAGCAGAAGACCACACTGGGTGCCACTCCAGCCAGCAAAGAACAGGAAACTGAGGCTACAATTCACACAGGCTCATCCAAAATTGGACAGTTTGATCCAAAATTTTAAAAAGGTTTGAAATTTGATTGAAAAAACATTGCCTGGTCTAATGATCCTCGATTTCTGCTGCAACATTCGGATGGTCGGGTCAGAATTTGGCATCAACAACATGAAAGCACAAGGTTAAAATAGTAAGGTGTACCTAATAATGTGACCAGTGAGTGTATACTGATAAGCCAAATATACTGTAGTATCAGCCAATCACATGACAGAAACTTGATACATTTAAGCAAATAGATGTGGTCAAGAAAATCTGCTGAAGCTCAAATGCAGCATCAGGATGTAGAAGAAATGTGATTTAACCCTCCTGTTTACTTATGGGTCAAAAATGACCAGAGCAGCACTTGAACTCATTAAACAATGTTTTTTTTTCTTTCTTTTTTAACCCTAACATTAGTAAAAAAAAAAAAAAAAAACTTTACAAGCAAAACATTATACACTTCTGCTTTTAGGTACTACAAGCATTTGAATGATGCTAATTAAAGGGATAGTTCACTCAAAAATGAACATTTGCTGTTAATTTCCTCACCACAGGTCATCCAAGATGTAACTATCTTTATACTATATATATATATATATATATATATATATATATATATATATATATATATATATATATATATATATATATATATATAAAATATTACCAGTCATAATTCACAGCCTGCTCAAACAGATTCAAAAGAGGTTTTAGAATTAAAAGACAAAAAAACTTGAGAGTAAATGATTTATTTTTGGTGAACTATTCCTTTAAATGACTTTGAATGGTTTTCAATGGTTGAAATGACTTTGACTTTGAAAGGTTATTAGTGCCAGATGGGCTGGGCTGAGTTCAGAAACTGCTGATGATATACAGGAATTTTCACATGACCATCCCTGTATAACAACAGTGAACCCTTATTGTGATGATTATTACTTCCAGCAGCATAACAAGCCCTGCCACGAAGCTCCAATCATCTCAAATTGGTTTCTCGAACATAACAACCAGTCCCCTATACTCCGAAGGCCTCCACAGTTATCAGATGTCAGTCTAGTAGAAGCATAAATGCACGTTGGGGATGTTCTGGAGCAAAAAAACGACTAGTTGAAAAATCTGTAGCAACTGAGTGATGCTTTCATATCATATCATATCGCTTTTAAATTATTCTACAGTAATATATATTATATATATATTACTGTAGAATAATTTAAAAGCGATATGATAAACCACCGAAACCACCCCAAACATACCCCCTCCCCATCCCCCAAGAAACGAAGACACTATGTGGTTGACTTTATATATATTTAAATATATATTTTTAATATATACATTTAAAATAATAATTATAAATACATTTAAATATATTTATTTATTTTCAAAAAACACAACAATTAATTTTTTTATGGTTATTATACAACTATTATTCTAAAAAATAACATAAATCAATCCAAAATGTAACTGAAAAACAATGTAAAGACACAACTTGAGTAATATTGTAAGACTTTTGCATGAATATTAATTATGACAGTTCAATAGAATACAAAAAAAATATGTTTTATAGAATTATCTGTTGTCTTAGACCCGACTCATGGCCGAGAATTAATATTATGATGTTTTAGTTACCTCCCTGACTCATTATGCCTCTTTTCTACTTCATAGCCATGCTTAATCAAAGTATCATCAGCATCATATTATATAAAACTTTAGTTTTGTCCACTTGCATCTTGACGCATATCGCTGTGCATGTAAACAACCGGGATCAAGAGCAGCACATTTGAGGCGCGCAGCAATGGCTTTCTTCACATTTGCGTCAATTTGCCTTCACCAGCGTTGTTTCGGTTACACATAAAGAATAACAAACTTGCGTGTGCAAAAGACGCCAGATATGAATAGCCCCTAATGTCTTTATTTTTGGATAACCACTCTATACACTTGCATAAAGTAAATCTTATCTCAAAGCTTTTACTGGGGCACTTATTTTTGTCTCCCCGTGCTGCCCCCAGTAAGATGCCACCCTGGGCAATCGCACATATGACCCATGCCTAAATCCGCCACTGTTAGTCAGAACCAAAGCCAAAACTGGGACTAATGTAATAAAAGGTCCAGAAATTAGCACACATAAATGAATATGTTGGGAGAAAATATTAAATCAAATGTTAATAAACAGGGAAAATCAAGAGAAACTAAGAAATATACAAAATTTGATTGATTTTGTGTATATATATTAGGGGTGTCACGATTTCGATTTTTAATCGAGATAGATCGAAATTTATGCTCAACTTCGATTATCGAATCAAAAAATGGAATCGTCGATGCTGCCACGCCCCCATGTCACGTTAGCTTGGCTTGCCAAGCGGGAAAAAAACATGCTTGTTGAAGTGCTTGTTAAACTGCAGAAGCAGGAGACCCGACCACAGAGCTTAAACCCTCTCCTCTTTCAATGAAGTCGCCGGTGTGGAAGTTTTTTGGATTTCCAGTTAGTTATGTTGACAACGTTCGTTTTGTCGACAAAAAAACACAGTTTGCAAGCTCTGCTATGTACGTATTACGGTTGGGATGATAGACGATGGGCGCATCGCGATCCTCCACCCCGCCCCCGTTGCAAATCCGCTCGCGAAAAATACACACTCAGGCCCTGATTACACTAATATATCTTTGTTTTTAAATGGCATTTTAGAACGACAACGATCCACATCCACACTGGCGTGTAGCATTTCTGAGCAGCCCTCCTTCCTCACTACCGCTGAAAACGCACATCACGTGACCACACACACTCATTCACACACATATACAGACGCACACACATTGTCATGCGCTCGAGACAGCGGGTCAAGGCAGTCTGCGAGTCAGTAGACTGCTTCCATCTTTTACTTTCACACAAGTACTTAGTCATTTTAGCGAACACCTCAGATACTGTTGGCTGGTTTCCGTTGGTTGAGCAACTTTTTTACCGACGCCATTATAACGACACAGATCACGAGTGCCGCATTAAAAAGTGATTGACAGGTTGTAATTATGTGTGTAACTTACCTTTATTCATTTACTGTATGATTTGTTTATGGGTAAAACAAAGACCATGCAAGTCAGGTATTTTAAACGGTAGGCTACTAATAATTAATTCGTTATTAATTAATTAATTAATTATTCAAAATCGAAAATCGAATCAAATCGTGACTTTAGAATCGAAAATGTAATCGAATCGAGGATTTGGAGGATCGTGACACCCTTAATATTAATAAATATATACATATATATATATATATATATATATATATATATATATATATATATATATATATATATATATATATATATATATAATTTTTTTTATTTTTAATGGATTCAATTTCATTTGAATTTAAATGTATTATCTTTCTATTCCTATAGATGTTAGGTGACATAACTGTTTAATAAAATCAAACATGTTCATGTATATTGCCTATATTCACTGAGAAATGGATAAAACTATTCATTTTTAAAAGGAAACGTACTCATTTATGCTGAGCACTGCATGTTGTCATGTTTAGCTTGATGAATGTTACACTTTCAGTAGCGTGTTCTTTCTTTTACATGCATTTTATCTAGCAGATAAGTTTGTAGCTGGAACGAGTAATGCTACAACACCTTTCTGAGATCTCCTCTAACATCTCCATGAGTTTCGCAGCCAGACCCAGCCGTCTGAACTCTGGGGCCACAGAGAGGGCAGTGACGTGCCCGTGCCATTCCTCTCTGGCGACGGAGCCCTCGGCCTTTCCCATGACTGCAGGATGACAATGGACATACAGGTTATTCATACAGCAATATTCACAATAAGTTTACCCTTGATTGTGCTGTCGAGGATGTTTTCATCCACTCTGGAGTGATTTTGAGTCTTTATTAGTCCACGACTTTCTCTGTTTCAGCAAATGGAATGATTTTTGCAGACAAATCTTATTTTGATATATATAATTTGGGAAAATGCTTAGACATTTTTCAATACCTCAACAATACACTGGCAAACTACCCTTTCGTTATTTTTGTGGCTGTTTTTGCCCTATTGACTTCCATTATTATGATATTTTTTGATTGCACAGCCATGAGACCATATAATGATGCATTATTGATTGTTGCTGGTTTTCCCTGTAGGAAAGAGATAGAATTTGCTTACTTTTATTGAGCTGCATGTTGAAATTTAGCCTGTGTATGTGTTTTTATCTAGAGCCCTGCCTTTGAGCCCGACGGGACCTGACTTTTTTATGCCCCTCTGGCTGGGCTTCCAGCCAATTTTCACGTCATAGCTAGCACGCATATCGGGCCTGCATTAGGAAAAAACATGCGCATAGAGATTTCCAGCCACGTACAATAGCGAACATAAAGAGAAAAATTGCCAATGGCGAACTTAAAACTGTGAAAAACGCTAGAGGAAGGACAAACTTCTGGTCAACTACTTTAATAGTGACGACTTTAAATGATGAGCCAACTGGTTATGCACAATGCACAACTTGTAAGTCCAGGGGCGCCTGCAGGATTTTATTTCCAATTATGCAAAAATCCAGCACCGTCCTGCCTTATCCCTTATTCTTATTTCAATCTAGGAAACACTGATGCTTGCTGTCAAAGGATACATTATTTAAGGGCATTCGTTATGCCATAATTCGTTTCTTTTTTAATATTAATATAGTTGCTTTGAAATCTAAATATAATAAAAGCAAATCAGCTCAAGGAAAAATCTTTAAAACTATGACCTATTAAAAAATTAGCAAATATATGACAGAGGATTGTGGTTAATTTCCACTGACTGCAACAAATCATCCATCCGCACAGTTGAGTAATGGATAGGCTCAAATAAAAATAAAATTAGTATATTTGTTTTGGAAAATATATTTTGCATTATGCATGTAAACATTTTCAAAGTGTTTATTTCACAGAGGAAACTCAAGTCAGACTTTCAGGTGTGGAATGACATACAGGTGAGTAATCAATGTCTGGTTATTCACTTTTATTTGAAGCTAAAATAAATTAGAAAGAGGCACTCACTGTAGCCCATCAGTTCACCGCCTGGAGCTTCAGCTACTATGAAATACTCCGGCCAATGAGCCAAATACTGAAGATAGAAGGGAATTCCATACTGTTCATTGAAAGTTAAGAAAAACGGACAAGTATGCAAAATACAGAGGAAGACAATTAGTTAGATTAGTGACAAACTGATTAATTAGACAAAGATGTCAGTGAGTTTTTCTTAAAGGATACTGTTTCTGTCAGGGGGTCCAGATTACTGTGGGATAAAAATACAGAAATGTAAATATTAGCCTAGCATATTCATTCAGATGCACACTTACCGGCCACTTTATTAGGTACACCTGTCCAACTGCTCGTTAACCCAAATGTCTAATCAGCCAATCACATGGCAGCAACTTAATGCATTTAGGCATGTAGAAATGGTCAAGATGATTCAAACCGAGCATCAGAATGGGGAAGAAAGGGGATTTAAGTGACTTTGAATGTGGCATGGTGACAAGCTGGTCTGAGTATTTCATAAACTGCTAATCTACAGGGATTTACACGCACAACAATCTCTTGGGTTTACAGAGAATGGTTCAAAAAAGTGTAAATATCCAGTGAGAGGCAGTTCTGTCAGTGCAAATTTGTGCCCATTAGTACCAACTGAGCATCGTGTCAATGCCAGAGTCTACATGAACTGTTGCTGACCATGTGCATCCTTTTATGACCACAGTGTACTCGTCTTCTGATGGCTACTTCCAGCAGGATAACGCGCCATGTCATAAAACAGGAATCAACTCAGACTGGTTTCCTGAACATGACAATGAGTTCACTGTACTCAAATGGCCTCCACACCACAGTCACCAGACTCCAAGCCAATAGAGCACCTTTGGGATGTGGTGAAATGGGAGATTTGCATCAGGGATGTGCAGCCGACAAATCTGCAGCAACTACGTGAATATGTAGCAAAATCTCTGAGGAATATTTCCAGTACCTTGTTGAATCTATGCCATGAAGGATTAAGGTAGTTCTAAAGGCAAAAAAGGGTCCAACCTGGTACTAGTAAGGTGTACCTAATAAAGTGGCCGGTGAGTGTATGTGATCCTAGACCACAAAACCAGTCCTAATTTGCTGTTTTATCTTTGGCATTGGCCAAAAATACACTGAATGTGTCATGATGGTTGACTTTTATGCCAAAATCAAATCATTATTAACATTTTATATATTTCTTACTGCAAAAATATCAAAAATGTTTTGGTTAGTAATGTGCATTCCTATCCACTTCATTTAGACACATCTAAAGGCTATTTTCTCGTTATTTTATTATTTTTAACCCTCAGATTACAGATTTTCATAAGCTATATTTGAATAGTTGTATGTAACGTTATAGTTATATAGTGATACTTATGACTATTTTGTCGTACACGGTCATATGTGGGCAAATACAATAGTAAGCGTCCAATTAATAACATTTATAAAGGCAAAAATCTGATATCACAACTAGATATATGGCTGAACATTACTTGAATCGTCATTATTAATCAGTAATAACAATATATACGTGCACAGTAACGTTAAACCACCAGACATGTACATGTACCATGGTTTTCACGTAAGTACGATGGCGTAGCATTTACATACTAGTTCAAAACACAGTCATTTGAACTTAAATATAACAACTGTAGTGATACCATTGCGAAGTAAAGGCTTAATGGGTATACCATGGTAACGTACTGAGTAACATCGTATCACCCTCACTTTGTAATCAAGCCACAACAGTAGGTTACGTTTCTGAAATTGTGATTATATAACTAGTAATCAAATTACTCACATATTGTTGAATTTAAACAGATCATCGCACGTGAAAGCTCGTAATGTTGTCATTTTCCAGTGTGTTGCAGGACAGGACGACGCTCTGACCTCTCACCCCTACGTCACACGTACGTTTTACTGTTGGTGGTTTGGACAGCGACATCATTCGGCTAAATGGAGGAAAAACACAGGCCGATTTATTCGATGTAAGGTAACTATTCATTTATAACCAATTAATATTCTATACTTAACGAATTCTTTATTTATTAGTTAGTTAGAATTTAATATAAGCTATTAGTAAGACTTTCAGTTCACAAATAGAAAACATGATGCTAGTTTCTTCAAATATTTTACTGTCTATCAAAACTCCTCACATCAGTCTCCTCTTAAATGGACAGTTCATTCAAAAAATGATTATTTATTTACTATTTACTCAATCTCGAGTCCTTTCAAACCTTTATAAGTTTCTTCTGTTTATATTAAACACACTTATTTTAAACACAAAATAAGATTTTTTTTTTGAAGAAAGCTAATGTCCTGTAACTTTAACACTGACCTCCATAGTAGGAAAAATAGGTTTACAACATTCTTCAAAATATCTTTTTTTGGGGTTGTCTTCTTTCCAGTGTTATGGATGTGACATTTGCAGTTAAATCTTGAAACGTAAGTAAGTAGCTAAAGTTTATTTATGAAGCACATTTACAGTAACTTCAGTGTGGCGCTGAACAAAACCATAGCACATATTCTAAAGCAGTAAAATAACAATAAAAGTAATAATAGGAATAATAGTATGACAGCAACAATGCACACAAAATAATAAAAGCCTGGGAAGGCAATTGAATAAAAATGTGTCTTAAGTCTGGACTTAAAAATAGAGATAGAAGAAGCACTCGTAATGTCCGGTGGCAGCAGGTTCCAAAACCAGACTGCAAAGGCTCTATCTCCAGTTTGAATAGTGACCAAGGAATTAGCAATAACATTTTATTTGATGACCTAAGAGGCAGAGGAGTTGACTGTAGGTTAATAAGTTCAGATATAAGGTGCTTGCCCATTCAGTGCTTTAAAAACAGTAAGTAAAACCTTGAACTGAATTCTAACATTAACAGGAGGTCAAGGGATGCTAAAACTGGTGAGATATGAGCTTGTTTTTCGGTGCCTGTTAAAAGTCTAGCTGCCCCATTTTGAACCAACTGCAACCGTGCCAATGAAGATTGAGGGAGACCAACATAAAAGAAATTGCAATAGTCTAGGCGGGACTTGATAAAAGCATGTATGACTTTTCCAGATCTTAAAAGGAAAGAATGGATTTGAGTCTGGAGATGATCCTCAGCTTATAGTAACTATTCTTAACGACTGAGCAAATTTGTTTTCTAGACAAAGCTCTGAATCAAAGATAACTTCTAGATTTTTTACTTGCGATTTAACATATGGTGTAAGACTTCCCAAGCCCACTATATAAGACATTCTTGTTTTTGAGGGGCCGAAGAGAATAACTTCACTTTTGTCATTATTAAGTTTAAGGACGTTTTGTCATTATTAATTAGTGTCTTTTGCCATCCAACAATTAATATGCTGAAGACAATCAATTCGAGACTGCTGGGAGTTCTGAGATTTTAAAAGAACATACTGCTGGGAGTCATCTGCATAATAATGAAAAAAGATGTTATATATCCTTTTAATATTACCAAGAGAAAGCATATATAAATTGAAGAGCATTGGACCCAGAATAGAGCCCTGGGGGACACCACACAGAAGATTGGCAGATGTTGACATAAATTGGCCAACAGAAACTGAAAAAGACCTGGATTTCAGATATGACTGAAACCAATGAAGTGCTGAACCCTTTATGCCCACCCAATGTTCCAGACGTGAAAGGAGTATGGTATGATCGAGTCGACTGTATCAAAAGCAGAGCGCAGATCCATTAAAACCAAAACTGCATTATTGCCAGAATCTTGCCATGCAGGACTTGAACCAGTGACCTTTTTGCTGTGAGGTGACAGTGCTAACCACTGAGCAACCCAAAGACATTGGATCCAACTGTTGAAGAAGTCCAAACATGCGGCTCATAAAAGTAACAACTTTTGACCAATAAGCTCTAATAACATGACAACTCAATAATGAATGAAGAGGAAAAGAGTAAATGATGACAGAGTTTAAGGTGAACTCTCTGTCAGCTCTCTGTGGTGTTATGTAAGTGTGTTTTATATGTGCGGTGAATGTGCTGTTATTCCCTCAGGTGTGTACAGTAGGTGGAGTAATGCAGGATCAGGTGTTGAGTCTCACTTTTAAAAGCGTTCTACGGGTCTCGGTACTTTAGTAAACTCTTTCACTGGAGACTAGCACCTGAAAATGGAGTGGCTTCAGTTCTTTGGGATCCTGGTGTGTTCACTGGTCTGCAGAGGAGCGATGGTTACATCAAGGTTTGATACTTTTTTATTAATTTATTTTATTAAAGTTACATACAGTCGAAGTAAAAATTAATAGACTTTCTTTTATTTTTTTCAAATATTTCCCAAATGATGTTTAACAGAGCAAGGACATTTTACAGTATTTCTGATAATAATATTTCTTCTGGAGAAAGTCTTATTTGTTTTATTTTGGCTAGACCAAAAGCAGTTTTAAATTTTTTAAACACCATTTAAAGGTCAATTTTAGTCAAGGTCAAAATTATTAGCCCCCTTAAGCAATATATATTTTTTGATAGTGTACAGAACAAGCCATCGCTTTACAAAAACTTGCCTATTTACCCTAATTTGCCTAATTAACCTACAGTAGTTAAGTCTTTAAATGTCACTTTAAGCTGAATACTTATAGTAATATCTTAGTCATAGTCTTAGTCTTAGTCATCATGGCAAAGATAAAATAAATCAGTTATTTGAAATGAGCTATTAAAACTATTATGTTTAGAAATGTGTTGAAGAAATCTCTGTGAACAACTTGGGCAAAATATAAAAGAATTCAAGGTTAACAGGAGGGCTAATAATTCTGACTTCAACTGAATTTCTGTGTTTTAAGGGTGATTATTAAAAAGCATTATTACACGTAACCCTCAATCAAACTTCAATTATGCTCTAAATTTGCAGTGGTGGTATGAAAGAATATGTTTTTTTTTGTTTGAATTAAAATTAGCATTTTCTTTTAAAAGATTTACTTTCTCTTTTTTGGTGTGAAGAATTATTATTATTTTAATTTTTTTGCTGAAGTTTTATATATATATATAATTTATTATTAATTATTATTATTAGTTAATATATATATATATATATATATATATATATATATATATATATATATATATATATATATATATATATATATATATATATATATATATATATATATTTTTTTTTTAAAGACAGATAAATAACTTTTTTTGTGAAGTGGAATGTTTAATGATTGTTCATGTATTTGTTAATGCCATAAAGATCCTTTATTTTTAGTGTAAGCACACACTATGCCACTTGGTTTTTTTATGGGTAGTCTATAAGCAATATCATGGCCAGTTTTTTTTTTTTTTTTTTAGATATATAGTCTAATTTTTGTATTAATCTAATAATCTAGATTAATCTTTCAAGACATTATTATTTGAATGGTAGTGTTTAATAAATACACTACCATTGAAATGTTTCCTCAAAAATGTTTATTTATTTATTTTTATTTATTTATTTTTATTACTGAAGGGTTAAAAATAAAAGCAATTATTTAAAATAGATTAAAATGAGAAGTTATTCTGTTTGTTTTGATCAGTTTAATGCATCCTTGCTGAAAAAAAGTTATAATTTGTTTATAATATTTAAAAAAAAAACTTATGAAACAATATTTTTATTATATTATAATTTATCATATTATAGTATAATTTATTATATTGTATTACATAATAATATATTACATCATATATTATATTGTTTTATATTATATTATATTATATTATATTATATTATATTATATTATATTATATTATATTATATTATATTATATTATAAAAAGGTTTAAAGTTTAGACTTTCTAAAAATATTTGCATTAATTTTCAGCTAACTCCCTGCATTTTTTATGGAAATAAAGTTAAAGTCAGCTTTTTTGACACAGAGAATCGAAATTACTCTCGTTACTCTCAGACCATAGCTGCATAACAGATAGTATTATAAATACAACTACACATACTATAATTTAAAACAAAAAATAGATAAAAATAGACATTATATACAATACAATTACAAGTAAGGGCACATGGGAAAAAATGCAAACCATGTAAAACTTAAATTTTAAATAAAACTATAATTATGACTAGGAATATAAAATCTCTTTCATAATCCAGTGGAATTAAAATATTTTCTGATTTCAGCGCTCGTCAGAACCTCTCCTATCTCATATCGGTGTCTGAAGTTCTGCGCTGTGGCGTTCCCACCACATTATCAGTCACCGTTCTGTCAGATTATCCCATCAATGTCACAGCCAGACTTACTCATGGAAAGACCAGTGTGGCCCAAACACAGAGCACCGTCCCAGCAGGTATACATCAACATCACACTGTAAAATAATTATCGACAGAAAGTCAAGACAACAAATAATGTTTATGTTGCTTTAACTTATTTTTAAACAACTTTTTAAGTTATACAAATCTTAATATAGTTAATATAAGTTGAGATGACTAGAAAAGTTCATTTGACTCTCTTTAGTTTCTGTGATTTGTGGTTTTATTGCATTATTTTATTGCAAAAAAAAAAAAAAGTTCATCAAGCTCATCCTCTGGCGTGTTTGTTTATAGTTGCATTTATTTAACTCATGCATTTAATAAATGATGGCTTTATTACAATTTGCAAATTTTGTATGCATTTTTGCCTTTTATATTTGGAAGCCAAAATATATGCAGTAATTTTTTCCAATTTACAGATTTGCTTTAAATCTATTTGTCAGTTTATGTATTTAAGCATTTATTTATTTATCTGTTTCTTCATTTACATTTTTTTTTCTGTAATTATTTAATTTTATTTGTGCATTTTGCTATATTAACCATATTCATGCACTTTTTTATTTATTACTCTTAGAAAATCTCCTTTACTTCACATTACGTATTAGTAGGGCATGGCATTGTTTACA